ACCCAGGCAGTTCTAACTACACCTCTATAAACAAAATGGCAAGGAAGTTCACACAGCCGCTAGGCAGAGCCCACAGCAGCTCAGCAATGCCTCTGCTGGCAGACAGTGACTAGATTACCTCCTAGCTGGGCAGGGCATCTCTGAAAAAAGGCAGCAGCACAGCAGGAACTTATGAATAAAGCCTCACCTTCCCAGGACAGAGCACCTGGGAAAAAAGGCAGTTATGAGTTCTACTGCAGCAGACTTAAACGTACCCACCCAGTAGCTCTGAATGGAACAGCGGAACTCACAGGTCGGCACTTGCACTCTTATAAGGGTCAGACTGTCTCCTCAAGCAGCTCCCTGACCCCTGTATATCCAAAGAGACATTTCACAAAGGAGAGCTCAAGTTGACATCTGGCACATATCCTTCTGGGACGAAGATAACAGAAGAAGAAAATGGCAGCAACCCTTACCGCTATGCAGCTGCCACAGTGAGCCCCAGGCAAACAGCGTCTGGAGTGGACCTCCAGCAGTCTTACAGCAGAGGGGCCTAACTGCTAGAAGGAAAACTAAAAAACAGAAAGAAATAACTTCATCATCAACAAAAAGGAGGTCCACTCAGAGACCCCATCCAAAAGCCACTAACCACAAAGACCACAGGTAGATAAATCCAGAAAGATGGGAAGAAACCAGCACAAAAAGGATGAAAACACCCAAAACCAGAATGCCTCTCCTCCTCCAAGGGATCACAACTCCTCACCAGCAAGGGAACAAGGCTGGATGGAGAATTAGTTTGATGAATTAGCAGAAACAGGCTTCAGAATGTAGGTAATAACAAAATTGTTTGAGCTAAAAGGACATGTTCTAACCCAGTGCAAAGAAAATAAGAACCTTGACAAAATGTTTGATAAAATGCTAACAAGAATTAACAGCTTAGAGGGGAATATAAATGAATTGATGGAGCTGAAAAACACAACACAAGAACTTTGAGAAGCATACACAAGTTTCAATAGAAGAATCGACCAAGCAGGAGAAAGGATATCAAAGACTGAAGATCAACTCAATGAAATAAAACTCTTTAGAGAAAAAAGAGTAAAAAGAAATGAACAAAGTCTCCAAGAAATATGGGATTATGTGAAAAGACCTAATCTACATTTGATAAGTGTACCTGAATGTGACAGAGAGAATGAATCCAAGCTGGAAAACACTCTTCAGGATATTATCCAGGAGAACTTCCCCAACCTAGCAAGGAAGGCCAACATTCAAGTCCAGGAAATACAGAGAACACCACAAAGATATTCCTCAAGAAGAGCAACCCCAAGGCACATAATCATCAGATTCACCAGGTTTGAAATGAAAGAAAAAATGCTAAGGGCAGCCAGAGAGAAAGGTCAGGTTACCCACAAAGGAAAGCCCATCAGACTCACAGCAGATCTCTTGGCAGAAACTCTACAAGCCAGAAGAGGGTGGGGGTCAATATTCAACATCCTTAAAGAAAAGAACTTTCAACTTAGAATTTCACATCCAGCCAAACTAAGCTTCATAAGCAAAGGAGAAATAAAATTCTTTACGAACAAACAGTTGCTGAGAGATTTCGTCACCACCAGGCCTGCCTTACAAGAGCTCCTGAAAGAAGCACTAAACATAGAAAGAAACAACCAGTACCAGCCACTCCAAAAACATACCAAATGGTAAAGAGCATCAAAACAACGAAGAATCTGCATCAACTAATGGGCAAAACAACCATCTAGCATTAAAATGGCAGGATCAAATTCACACATAACAATATTAACCTTAAATGTAAATGGGCTCAATGCCCCAATCAAAAGACACAGGGTGGCAAATTGGATAAAAAATCAAAACCCATCAGTGTGCTGTATCCAGGAAACCCATCTCACATGCAAGGCCACACATAGGCTCAAAATAAAGGGATGGAGGAAGATTTGCCAAGTAAATGGAAAACAAAAAAAAAAAAAAGCAGGAGTTGCAATCCTAGTCTCTGATAAAATAGATGTTAAACCAACAAAGATCAAAAGAGACAAAGAAGGGCATTACATACTAGTAAAAGGATCAATGCAACCGTAAGAGCTAATGATCCTAGATATATATGCACCCAACACAGGAGCACCCAGATACATAAAGCAAGTTCTTAATGACCTACAAAGAGACTTAGACTCCCACACAATAACAGTGGGAGACTTTAACACTCCACTGTCAATATTAGACAGATCAATGACACAGAAAATTAACAAGGATATCCAGGACTTGAACTCAGACCTGGAACAAGCAAATCTAATAGACATCTACAGAACTCTCCACCCTAAATCCACAGAATATACATTCTTCTCAGCACCACATCACACCTACTTTAAAATTGAAGACATAATTGCAAGTAAATCTCTCCTCAGCAAATGCAAAGAACGGAAATCATAACAAACAGTCTCAGATCACAGTGCAATCAAATTAGAACTCAGGATTAAGAAACTAACTAAGAACTGCACAACTTCATGGAAACTGAACAACTGGCTCTTGAATGTAGACTGGATAAACAATGAAATGAAGGCAGAAATAAAGATGTTCTTCGAAACCAACGAGAATGAAGACAAAATATACCAAAATCTCTGGGACACATTTAAAGCCGTGTCTAGAGGAAAATTTATAGCAATAAATGCCCATATGAGAAGGAAGGAAAGATCTAAAATCAACACCGTATTATCAAAATTGAAAGAGCTAGAGGAGAAAGATCAAAAAAACTCAGAAGCTAGCAGAGGACAAGAAATAACTAAGATCAGAACAGAACTGAAGAAGATAGAGACACAAAAAATCCTTCAAAAAATCCATACATCTAGGAGCTGGATTTTTGAAAAGATCAACAAAACAGACAGACCACTAGCCAGATTAATAAAAAAGAAAAGACAGAAGAATCAAAGAGATGCAATAAAAAATGATAAAGGGGATATCACCACCAATTCCACAGAAATGCAAACTACCATCAGAGATTACTACAAACAACTCTATGCACATAAACCAGTAAACCTGGAAGAAATGGATAAATTCCTGGACACTTGCCCCCTCTCAAGCCTAAACCAGGAAGAAATCAAAACCCTGAATAGACCAATAACAAGGGCTGAAGTTCAGGCAGCCTACCAAACAAGAAAAGCCCAGGTCCAGATGGGTTCACAGCCGAATTCTACCAGACATACAAAGAGGAGCTGGTACCACTCCTTCTGAAACTATTGCAAACAATCCAAAAAGAGGGACTCCTTCCCAAATCATTTTATGAGACCAACATCATCCTGATACCAAAATCCAACAAAGATTCAATAAGAAAAGAAACCTTCAGGCCAATATCCATGATGAACATAGATGCAAAAATCTTCAATAAGGTACTGGCAAACCAAATGCAACAGCATGTCAAAAACCTTATCCATCACAATCAAGTAGGCTTCATCCCGGGGATGCAAGGCTGGTTCAACATATGCAAGTCTATAAACATAATTCGCCACATAAACAGAACCAAAGATAAAAACCACATGATTATCTCAATAGATGAAGAGAAGGCCTTCAACAAAATTCAACAGCAGTTTAGGCTAAAAACTCTCAATAAACTAGGTATCGATGGAACATATCTCAAAATAATAAAAGCTATATATGACAAACACACAGCCAATATCATGCTGAATGGGCAAAAACTGGAAGCATTTTCTTTGAAATCTGACACTAGATAAGGATGCCTTCTCTCACCACTCCTATTCAATATAGTATTAGAAGTTCTAGCCAGAGCAATCAGTCAAGTAAAAAAAATAAGGGTTTTCAATTAGGAAAGAAGGAAATCAAATTGTCTCTATATGCAGATGACATGAGTGTATATTTAAAAGACCCCATTGTCTCAGCCCAAAATCTAAAACTGATAAGCAACTTCAGCAAAGTCTCAGGATACAAAATCAATGTGCAGAAATCACAAGCATTCCTGGACAACAGTAACAGAATTAAAGAGAACCAAATCAAGAACGAACTGCCATTTACAATTGCTACAAAGAGAATAAAATACCTAGGATTACACTAACAAAGGATGTAAAGGACCTCTTCAAGGAGAACTACAAACCACTGTTCAATGAAATAAGAGAGGACACAAATAGATGGAGAAACATTCTATGCTCATGGTTAGGAAGAATCAATATCGTGAAAATGGCCATACTGCCCAAAGTAATTTAAAGATTCAATGCTATCCCCATCAAGCTACCAATGAACTTCTTCACAGAACTGGAAAAAAACACCTTAAACTTCATTTGGAACCAAAAGAGAGCCCACATAGCTAAGTCAATTCTAAGCAAAAAGAACAAAGCGGGAGGCATCGTGCTACCAGACTTCAAACTATACTACAAGGCTACAGTAATCAAAACAGCTTGGTACTGGTATCAAAACAGAGACATAGACCAATGGAACAGAACAGAGGCCTCGGAGGCAACGCCACATATCTACAACCATCCAATCTTTGACAAAGCAGATAAAAACAAGCAATGGGTAAAGGATTCCCTGTTTAATAAATGGTGTTGGGAAAACTGGCTAGCCATGTGCAGAAAGCAGAAGCTGGACCCCTTCCTGACACCTTACACTAAAACTAACTCAGATGGATTAAAGACTTAAACAGAAGACCTGACACCATAAAAACCCTTGAAGAAAACCTAGGCAAAATCATTCAGGACATAGGCATAGGCAAGGACTTCATGACTGAAACACCAAAAGCATTGGCAACAAAAGCTGAAATAGGCAGATGGGATCTAATTAAACTCCAGAGCTTCTGCAAAGCAAAAGAAACAATCATTAGAGTGAACTGGCAACCAACAGAATGGGAAAAAAATTTTGCAATCTACCCATCTGACAAAGGGCTAATATCCAGAATCTACAAAGAACTAAAGGAGGTTTACGAGAAAAAAACAAACAAACCCATTCAAAAGTAGGCAAAGGATATGAACAGACACTTTTCAAAAGAAGATGTTTATGAGGCCAACATATGAAAAAAATGCTCATCATCACTGGTCATTAGAGAAATGCAAATCAAAACCACACTGAGATATCATCTCACACCAGTTAGAATGGTGATCATTAAAAAATCTGGAGACAACAGATGCTGGAGAGGATGTGGAGAAATAGGAACACTTTTACACTGTTGGTGGGAGTGTAAATTAGTTCAACCATTATGGAAGACAGTGTGACTAATCTCAAGGACCTAGAAACAGAAATTCTATTTGACCCAGCAATCCCATTACTGGGTATATATCCAAAGGATTATAAATTGTTCTATTATAAAGACATATGCATATGTATGTTCATTGCGGCACTGTTTACAATAGCAAAGACCTGGAACCAATCCAAATTCCCATCAATGATAGACTGGACAGGGAAAATGTGGCACATATACACCATGGAATACTATGCAGCCATAAAAAAATGATGAGTTCGTGTCCTTCGTAGGGACCTGGGTGAATCTGGAAATCATCATTCTCAGCAAACTGACACAAGAACAGAAAATCAAACACCACATGTTCTCACTCATAGGCGGGTGTTGAACAATGAGAACACATGGACACAGAGAGCGAGCAACACAAGGGGATCTGTTGAGGTGGGATTGGGGGAATGGTAGGGGTAGGGAGGTTGGGGGGGGATAACATAGTGAAAAATGCCAGATATAGGTGACGGGGATGGAGGCAACAAACCACGTTGCCATGTAGGTACCTATGCAACAATCCTGCATGTTTTGCCCATGTACCCCAGACGCTAAAGTGCAATAAAATATATATATATATTTTTTTTTTTAAAAAAAAAAAAAAAAAAGAATGGGAGAACATTTTTGAACTCTACCCATCTGACAAAGGGCTAATATCCATAATCTACAAAGAACTTAAACAAATTTACAAGAAAAAAACCACCTCATCAAAAAGTGGGCAAAATATATGAACAGACACTTCTCAAAAGAAGACATTTATGTGGCCAACAAACATGAAAAAATAGCTTATTATCACTGATCATTAGAGAAATGCAAATCAAAACCACAAATGAGAAACAATCTCATGCCAGTTAGAATGGCCATCATTAAAAAGTCAGGAAACAACAGATGCTAGAGAGAAGGATGTGGAGAAACAGGAACACTTTCACACTGTTGGTTGGAGTGTAAATTAGTTCAACCATTGTGTAAAACAGTGTGGCAATTCCTCAAGGATCTAGAACCAGAAATACCATTTGACTCAGCAATCCCATTACTGGGTATATACCCAAAGGATTGTAAATCATTCTACTATAAAAACACATGCACCCATATGTTTATTGCAGCAATGTGTGCAATAGCAAAGGCTTGGAACCAACCCAAATGCCCATCAATGATAGAATGAATAAAGAAAATGTGGCACAAATACACCACAGAATACTAGGTAGCCATAAAAAACAATGAGTTCATGTCCTTTGCAGGGACATGGATGAAGCTGGAAACCATCATTCTCAGCAAACTAACATAGAACAGAAAACCAAACACCACATGTTCTCACTCATAAGTGGGGGTTGAACAATAAGAACATATGGGCACAGGGAGGGGAACATCACACACCGGGGCCTGTCAGGGGGTCAGGGGCAAGGGGAGGGATAGCATTAGGAGAAATACCTAACGTAGATGTTGGGTTGATGGGTGCAGCAAACCACCATTGTGGGGAACCCAACCGTGTGAATACTTGCAAAGCGAGTTTCACAAGACGGGTGGTCGAGCCTAGACACAGGCAGGCCTGAAAGAGGGAAGTTGGGATAAAGTTGAGTCAGGAACAGAAAAAGGAGAATCCTGTTAAAAGATAACCAGGTGATGGAACCAGGAAACCCTGCAGTCACAAGGAACAATGTCTTGATGTAAATGTTTTTTATGAGCACCAGGAACGACCATTACCTTTTACGGCCACTGATTGTATATCTGCCACCCTTATTGTATAGAGTATGTGAATTAGTGATCTGTTTTTTCTCTTACACTGACGTAAACCAGAGCCTGAAAAATGTATATAATCGAAGGCTCTGAGAAATAAAGTTGCTGTTGGAGCACTATCTCCTCAGTCCTCCTGACCCTGCCTGTCCTATCTCCTTTTCTTCCCGCGCACCCCCCGCTCAGGTTAGAATCCTTTTGCTGGTCGAGAGCTCCCGCCAGACACCATGGCACATGTATAGCTATGTAGCAAACCTGCACACTCTGCACATGTATCCTAGAAATTAAAGTATAATAATTTTTAAAAAGATGAGCTAAGGAAGCCAGATGCAAAAGACAAATCATATGATTACATTTTTATGAAGATTCAGCTTATATGAATTTATATGAAGTGTATTAGTTATAGACAAAACTAGTCTGTGGCTATAGAAGTCAAAATCATGATTATCTCTGCTGCGGAAATGTAAAAGAGCAAGGGAGAGCCTTTTGAGATATGGGAAATTGTCTACAACCTGATTTGAGTGATGATTCATCAGTGTGCACATGTTTGTTGCTGAGAGTGTGTTAAATTCATTGAGTTGTACAGTTAGGATCAATGCACTTTACACCATATGTATGTATACTTATACATATATTTAAAGAGTGAGAATAATTTCTGCATGCCTGACATTTAGCTGGGCCCTAGAGATATGTTAACAAAACACACGGTTTTATTCCCCTCAGTATAGTGCAGTCCTGGCACCAGTTCAATGTCTATACAGTATATGGTTGGTGATCTGAACTGAGCTTTCTTTTTTCACACTAAATATTTAAACTCGAAAAAAATATATACTATTGCTGATGCTAATGGCAACAGTAGTGCTTTACTTTTCCTTGACAAACATGTTTTGTTTCATTTCAGGCTTTTTCAATCCAAGGTCATCCTGATGCCTCATTATGGAAAAAAATCCCAGAATTTGTCCTCCCTCCAGCAAAGGAGCTACATGTACTTTCATCCTGCAGATTTCAGAATTGATTCTCTGTGCTGCTAGCATTCTCCACATCCCACGGAGTTGTGCGCTAAAATCCAGAGCAGTGAATACATCTATGAAAAATGATGCTTTCGAACCTGCCTCATGGTGCAGTAAATTTAAAAGTACTCTTAATAATAAGAAGAATCAACATTGACTTTAATGGTCCTCAAGCCCATCACATAATTTCATTAGCCACCCAGCACAGATGCAAGCAGGGGTGATGTCATACTTTTTCCCCTTGCTCTGAAACCTGAGTCAGGCGCCAGAGATGGAAACCAGTTGTACAGACTCTAATCGGATTAAATCTCCTGGCAGCCTCTAATCAATAGGTGGTTGCTGGAGGAATCTCAAAATGTTCACAGCCCTCTCTGGCCTCCTCATGGGCATGGCCTTGCTCAAGCCGAAAGGAAGTTCGGGTGGTCTCTTTCTGCAAGTGAGGAAAGTCTAGATCATATGTTCTAGGACACTGTGTCAGTTGCAGTTTTCCCCAGGACTCAGGTCCATATAGAAAAGAGTCCCCAAGACTTCAGTCACTAATGCAACAGCCTCAAGTTTTCCTTTCTGATCTTACCTAAAGGAAACCTCTAACTATTCATACAACCATCATATAGGAAACTAGCAGTTACGATCACAGGTTTTGGAGTCAGGCACAGCATGATCTAAAACCCAGCTCTTCCACTGACTAAACAACCTCTACCAAGCTAGCCTACCTCTCTTTGACTCAGTTTTCTCATCTACAAAGTGAGGATAGTAACACCTACCTCACAGAAGTGTAGCAAGGAAGAAGAGAGTTAATGTGTACAAAGGGCTTATGACATAGTCCTTGGCCTGTGTAGTTACATGCTCAACAAATGATTGCTATTAACAAAAAGAAATAAGCTACGATTAATAGCTACCAAGGATCATTATAATTCTTAAAACTCTGCAATTCCCTCTCACAATCAGAGAGAATTCTTTTTTGCCATTATCATTTTACTTGCCTGAACTTTCCCACCTCTCCAACTTAACACAAGTGGGAAGCCTGTGCCTAGATGTGCTCATAACCTCCAGGTTGCTTTAACAAGAACTTCAATAACACAGCGAAATACAATGACCTCACCATCCCAATGTTGCAGAAGTAAAAATCAATGCTACTTAAAAAGCCTGACAATCAATCAAAGTCTAGCCAGATACCCGTGGAAGTCAAACAGACTCATATAAAAATCGGATTCACCTAGGGATCTCATTAAAGTGCTACAGCAGTAGTTCCCTGATGTAAGCTGGGAGTTTTCACTTGGCTTTCTTTCTTTTTTTTTTTTCAAATATGGAGTCCCGGTGAGATCAGGGCTGTATGTCTCCCCAGCAGCTGGTTCAGGAGCACTTTTATTGGCTGGATCCCCTCACTGGAATTACCTATGCAAACGGTCATTCATATGTCAATGTCATCCCATCTTCCCATGGTGACACAGACCGCCTCCTACTGAAGCCACATGCTGCTATAGTCCAAAATAAGCTCTTGAAAAAGTAATAAACACACTTTATTTTTATTACATAGTACAGTAGGGGTTAAAGAAAGCATAATTTTAAAATAATGTATTTCTATTCTATGGGCTTCTTTCTAAAACCTTATAATTCAAACATGAATATGACACAAATCCCCTCTCTGAGCTCAGGTCACTTTAAGAGATAACACCTACTATGGGCTAGATATTCTTCGAGGCACTAGAGACACAAAGATGGATAAAGCATGAGCCTGCCCTTCTAAGGATTCTATGAGACCAGCAGGCACAGATCTCCCTACCTTCAGACCCAGTCCCCAAAAAAGGACCCGCAGGATACACACCACTGAGGTGATGGCACACACCATTGAGTTAAAACTTTTTTTTCACTCTAGCAGTAAAGAAAACGACTAGACTCTGGATTATCCACCCCAGAACAATCAACTTAAGAGTGGAAACTTAAACTACTATGAAAAAAATGGTTGAACCAGAATGAGAAGGGCCACTGTTCCCAACAGCATTGGCAACTGATTCACTTAGAAACTCAGTAAAAGTCAACTCAAGAGCCCGATTCTTAGCCAACCTCA